CCGCCCGTCACTCTCTCTTCCGCCCGTTGCCCTTCCTTCGTCTCGTCGCCCCCCATCACGCTCGTCCCCTCGCAAACCCCGTCTCACTATCTCCCTGTCGCTCTCGCTTTCCCGGTCCCTTCTTTTTCCCCGTCGCCCTTCCATCCCCGCGTCGCGCTCGCCATCCCTCCCGTCTCCCTTCCCATCGCGCACACTTGCCCCCATCCCCTTCCCTGCTTCCCCCCATCCCCTTCCCTGCTTCCCCCCATCCCCTTCCCTGCTTCCCCCCATCCCCTTCCCTGCTTCCCCCCATCCCCTTCCCTGCTTCCCCCCATCCCCTTCCCTGCTTCCCCCCATCCCCTTCCCTGCTTCCCCCCATCCCCTTCCCTGCTTCCCCCCATCCCCTTCCCTGCTTCCCCCCATCCCCTTCCCTGCTTCCCCCCATCCCCTTCCCTGCTTCCCCCCATCCCCTTCCCTGCTTCCCCCCATCCCCTTCCCTGCTTCCCCCCATCCCCTTCCCTGCTTCCCCCTTTCCCCTTCCCTGCTTCCCTTCATCTCCATCCCTGCTTCCCCCCATCCCCTTCCCTGCTTCCCCTTTTCCCCTTCCCTGCTTCCCTTCATCCCCTTCCCTGCTTCCCCCCATCCCCTTCCCTGCTTCCCCCCATCCCCTTCCCTGCTTCCCCCCATCCCCTTCCCTGCTTCCCCCCATCCCCTTCCCTGCTTCCCCCTTTCCCCTTCCCTGCTTCCCTTCATCCCCTTCCCTGCTTCCCCCCATCCCCTTCCCTGCTTCCCCCCATCCCCTTCCCTGCTTCCCCCTTTCCCCTTCCCTGCTTCCCTTCATCCCCTTCCCTGCTTCCCCCCATCCCCTTCCCTGCTTCCCCCCATCCCCTTCCCTGCTTCCCCCTTTCCCCTTCCCTGCTTCCCTTCATCCCCTTCCCTGCTTCCCCCCATCCCCTTCCCTGCTTCCCCCCATCCCCTTCCCTGCTTCCCCCCATCCCCTTCCCTGCTTCCCCCCATCATGTGCCCTTGCCGTTGCCGTTGTTACCTTGCACCTCACACCACCTCCCTCATGTGCCTTCACACAATTCTTTTTTCCTACTCCACTCACCTATTTTTTCAGTGGTGAAGCAGAGGAGCAACAGTTGCTAGCTGAGGCACAGCTACTCGGTGCTTTACACCGTACCACGACCTGTTTCTTGTGTTTTCTATGCAAGCATGATACGGTACTGTATTACTGTTGGAGATATGCACTTCAAAGGCACACTTTGTACTACGGTAATTGCCTTTGCAGTACAAGATATTCTTCCAATATGCATGGACACTATGAGTGTCAGATCAGAAGGGAATACCGTATATAGGCATGTTTCTAATACTTTTGGTTGTAGGCAAAGATCAAGGGGTGCAATACGACTGACCTTTCTCAAGGCCTTGAAAAAAACATGAGGGGAACTGTTGATAAGGGGAGAGGGAAACGAGGGAAAGGAGAAGCAGGGCAGGGAGATAGGGAGATAAAACGAGGGGAAGAAGAGGGGGAAACGAGGGGAAGCAGGGGGGGAAACGAGGGGAAAAACAGAGGGGGAATTGAGGAGAAGCAGGGGGGAAGATGAGGTGCGAGAGTGGGGAAAATGAGGGGAAGGAGGGGGAGAAATTAGGGGAAGCAGAGGGGGAAACAGTGAGAGCAGAGGGGGAAACGAGGGGAAGCAGGAAGGACAATGAGGGGAAGGGGGGGACATGAGAGGAAGAGGGGGGGGGGGGGGGATGAGGGGAAGCAGCGGGGGAAACGAGGTGAAGCAGCAGGGTAAATGAGGGGAAGGAGGAGACATGAGGGGAAGCAAAGGGGGGAATGACGGGAAGTAGAGGAGGAAATGAGGGGAAGAAGAGGGGAGAACGAGAGGAAGAAAGGGGATTAAATGAAGGGAAGCTGAGGGGGGAATGAGGGGAAGCAGACGGGGAGTGAGGGGAAGAAGAGGGAAAAATAAGGGGAAGGTAACAAGAACGAATGGAAGGGGCAGGGAAGCAAGGGCAAGGGATGGGCAGGTGGGAGAAGGGCAGCGGGAGTGGAGGTGCAAGGGGGGGCAGCGTGACGAGGGTGCTGGCACGCTGATGGCAGGGGAGGCGCGGCGATCGGAGGCGCGGCGCAGCGAGCGGAGGCCCGGCGCGGCGAGCGGAGGCGCGGCGATGCGAACGGAGGCGCGGCGAGGCGAGCGGGGGGCGCGGCGCGGCGAGCGGAGGCGCGGCATGGCGAGCGGAGGCTTGTCGCGGCGAGCGGAGGCGCGGCGAGGCGAGCAGAGGCGCGACGAGGGGAGGAGCTCGATGAGGGAAGGGGAGGAGCCACTCAGAGGTGCGTGGGAAGGCGTGGTGAGGTGGCTTCACTCACCCTCGCGACCACAATGCGTTCCTACGTATTTCATGCTGCGAAGCGCTGTCGTAATGATTTCTTCTCGAAAATTACTCAGATAGATTAGTGAGGTTGGGCTTGTTCACTTGATTTTCCCTCAGCTGGTTGGGTTGGTTTGTCGCACGCTCCAACCGATGTTGAGTGACGAATGCAGAATTTCCTCGTTGCCTGATCTCGCTTTCGCCACGCCCATATTCTCGATATGAATATTTTTGGCTTTCGTCAATACGTTTAAAGCCCTTCCGAGATTGTGGCAAAAACCATGTGATACTCGGGCTTTAAATTGTTGCATTCATATGTGGTTCCGTTCATATGGATTGGTCTGGTAGGATTTGGCTTGTGTGTACAGTAGATCACGATGTGCGTGGAGGGTCGAGTCGAGGTGTCTCCAATTTGATGATGTGGCGAATCTTATCAGTACGGAACAGCTCCTTGATTTGGCCAGCGTGTCAGCATTTTTGGCGCGGAACTACGACGGATACTGTACTGGCAGCTTCGGAAAATTTGACGATGGTTCCTCCCTCGGCGACGTTTGTGCTGTGATGTCAACACACAGCCTCTGACCCTCCCCTTTCCCGCGTTTCTGTCCCCCATACCTAAACCGTCGTCAGGCAACGCGCCTCGGTTGTGTGCAATTTGTGGACCAAATGGAGTTGTTTGTGATCTAGTCGTCACCTTCGTTCTGCTTGGTCTGTGATCTCCTGACGAGTCGTTGGCCAACCAGAGTCGTCGTGAGTTGACAGGCTGTACCGCTCGCAAGGAGTGGTGGACGACTTTTGGCGAAGGTCGCGCGTACATTCCTGGCACCCTGCAGCCCATTTCGCCTCGGATTTCACGAACAGTTCCGCCGGCAAACTCGTCCTCTCCCGCCTCTCCCCCGTGGCTCGTCCCGTGCTTTGAATTTTCGGTTGTGTGCTTTTTTGAAACGCAAATGTTTTATGCTGGCAACAGCTTCGAATATATCTTTAAGCAACGCAAGGACACAGGTCCAGATTTCAGGTTTTTTTTTTTTAATTGGGAAATACATCGCATGTTGTATGTCTACCCAAAATGTTCTTTTGACCTGCAGCAGATGGTGGTGACCACCACATCCCACAGGGTTGCTGCAATCTGACACTGTAGTTTTCGGCTTGTAGTGAACCAACCACTTTTCTGCTCCATCGTCACCTTGCGGCAAGGATGCTCAGAGAGCCTCCTCACAGAACAGAAACACAAACGTACCTGCGAGGAGAAAGTGGAGCCTCTAGACACACTACCTGTTTGTTTGATAGCATGTATAAAACGCTGGGACTTAGAATCTGAAAGCTTTAAGCTCATCATTCCCGAGGTCGCCCACCATAATTCCCGTCATCAACGAGCTTCATTCGCCCGACCACCATGCGCCCTGGAGGTCGCTCACCATAATTCCCGTCATCAAGGAGCTTCATTCGTCTAAGCTCATAGACCCTGGAGATCGCCCACCAACCATTCTCCCCCATCGCCAACCTGCAACCCGCCTCCATCCGCACACCGCCCCCCGCCCAGCCTACCCTTCGATCTCCAAACGTAAGCATAAAGTTCTTATGTCTACTTGTTCCGACTTAGACGTTTTTTTAATGTCATTGTTTCAGAATGTATTCGTCTAAACTTCCGATTACTGACTCTTTTGTGATCGTTTTTCGCAGGTACAAAAGACAAGTTCAGTGACGAATCTGCATACGAACTGCTGCTCCGCAGCCGAACTGCTGCTCAAGCCGAACTGCTGCTCAAGCCGAACTTCCGCTCAAGCCGAACTTCTGCTCAAGCCGAACTTCTGCTCTGCATTTTCAAGCCGTGCGTGGCGCTCTGACGCGTTGGGAGTGCTGCTGTTGCCTGACTTCATGGATTGTGTCGCTTCACCCTGGAGATCTCCAGAGGTAAGCATGGAGCTGTTATGTCAACTTGTTTTGACGTTTATGCACTAAATCTATTATCATGTCCTTATTCTTGAAATTTTCCATGTCTACTTCCAATTTCTGACTCTTGTTTGGTTGTATATTTGCAGGTTCAAAAGCAAAACAAGTTCCTCGTCCTCAAGTTCAATGGCTTTCGTCAAACAACATCTGCAAAATCGTCTCTGAGAGCTGTGGCTGGCGGTCTGACATCACGATGACGCGCCGCTCTCCATTTTCAAGCCTTGGCTGGCCCTGACGCGGTTGACGCGGTTGATGTGGTGGACGTGGTGCTGCCGCCGTTGATCCCGCTGCCAACGTTCATAGGGGAGTGTTGCTTCCCTTTTCCTTCGTTTCTTTCCCGATTTCGATTTCCTCGCTTTCGTTTTTCGTTGTCATCATCATCATCATTCACAACCGCCCATTCGTGCGTCGCCGTTTTCCATCGTCCCTCTGGTTCATACGGCTGCAGTCGGAAGATGATCCTCCTCGGTTGGGTAGTCGGGTTGGCTAGATTAGATCCTCCCTCTGAAGGCTGCAGCCTATGAACCATGGACGTCCGCCCTCGTTTCCTTTGTCGTTTTCATATTCATTTTCGCTTTCGCTTTTCGCATTCGTTTTTGTGTTTGTTTTTTTTCCCTTTGTTTTTCTTCGTGTCATTGCTGTTTACTGACTTCGTGCTTCTATTTTTGTCTCACCCCCCGTTTTCAGCCATGGAGGATCATGTTGCGCGTGGAGGCAGATCTACCAAGGAAGTCGCCTACGAAGCAGCCTATGAAGCCGCAGCAACCAAGGTAAGCTTCCCAGTCCTGTTTATCCCAGTCTGGCATTCTGCTTGAGCTGGTTGCAAATTGTGTCTGTTTGTTTTCTTTAATAACTAGACTTTGAATAGTATATACTAATTGGTGTCTGCTGGCTTTTCTTAAACAGGACAAGCCAATGAAGCGAATGGCGAAGGAGATGACGAAGAAGCTTACCAAGCTAACGAAGGAGATGGCTAAGCAGCTTACCGAGCAGCCCACGGAGGAGATGACGGATCAGCCTACAGGGGAGCCTGCGAAGCAGATGACGAACGAAGGAGCCATCGAAGTCGCCTACAAAGAAGCCTATGAAGGCGCAGCAACCAAGGTAAGCTTCTCAGTCCTGTTTATCCTTGCGTTCTCATTATGCTGGTTGCAAATAGTGTCTGTGTTTTCTTTTAGATCTGGACTTTGAATGGTATAAACTAATTGGTCTCTGCTGTTTTTCTCTTAAACAGGACGAGCCAACGGCGAAGGAGATGACGAAGCAGCTTACTAGCAGCCGACGAAGGAGATGACCAAGCAGCCTGCGAAGCAAAGGAGCGGCGGAAGCGGTTGCGGGGCTGCAATGAGCGGCGGAAGTGGTTGCTGGGCGGCGGAAGCGGAGGCTGGGCTGCGGAAGCGGTTGCTGGGCTGCGGAAGCGGAGGCTCGGCGGCGGAAGCGGAGGCTCGGCGGCGGAAGCGGCTGTTGGGCTGCGGAAGCGGAGGCTAGGCTGCGGAAGCGGACTACAAGGTAGTAAGCTCTTTCCTGCTCTCTGCTTGAGCTGCTTGCTTGTCAGTTCGTTTTTCTTTAGATACAGATTCGGAAATGTTTGTTCTAATTTGTGTTTTTCTGTCGTTCTTTTCCTAAACAGGACACCCAACTGGAGACGAAATGGCGGATGAGATGAGGAGCAGCACCACGCAGCCTACGAATCAGTCTTCCACCAGCCTACAGAGGAGCAGCACCACGCAGTCTACTCAAGGGAACGGCGGACACTCAACTGGCGAAGCAAATGGCGGCCTACAAAGGAGCGGCGGATAGCCTTACAACGGAGCGGCGGACAGCCTTACTACAGAGCGGCGGACAGCCTTACAACGGAGCGGCGGACAGCCTTACAACGGAGCGGCGGACAGCCTTACAACGGAGCGGCGGACAGCCTTACAACGGAGCGGCGGACAGCCTTACAACGGAGCGGCGGACAGCCTTACAACGGAGCGGCGGAGCAGCTGGTAAGCTCTTCACCGCTCTCTGCTTGAAGCTGCTTGCTTGTCAGTCTGTTTTTTCAAGATTCGAAATCTGAAATATATTTACTAATATGTGTCTTGTGTTTTCTTAAACAGGACACTCAACTGGCGAAGCAAATGGCGGCCTTCAAAGCAGTCTACAAAGGAGCGGCGGACAGCCTTACAACGGAGCGGCGGAGCAGCTGGTAAGTTCTTCACCGCTCTCTGCTTGAAGCTGCTTGCTTGTCAGCCTGTTTTTTCAAGATTCGAATTCTGAAATATATTTACTAATATGTGTCTTGTGTTTTCTTAAACAGGAAACTCAACTGGCGAAGCAAATGGCGGCCTACAAAGCAGTCTACAAAGGAGCGGCGGACAGCCTTACAACGGAGCGGCGGACAGCCTTACAACGGAGCGGCGGAGCAGCTGGTTAGCTCTTCACCGCTCTCTGCTTGAAGCTGCTTGCTTGTCAGTCTGTTTTTTCAAGATTCGAAATCTGAAATATATTTACTAATATGTGTCTTGTGTTTTCTTAAACAGGACACTCAACTGGCGAAGCAAATGGCGGCCTTCAAAGCAGTCTACAAAGGAGCGGCGGACAGCCTTACAACGGAGCGGCGGAGCAGCTGGTAAGTTCTTCACCGCTCTCTGCTTAAAGCTGCTTGCTTGTCAGCCTGTTTTTTCAAGATTCGAATTCTATTTACTAATATGTGTCTTGTGTTTTCTTAAACAGGAAACTCAACTGGCGAAGCAAATGGCGGCCTACAAAGCAGTCTACAAAGGAGCGGCGGACAGCCTTACAACGGAGCGGCGGACAGCCTTACAACGGAGCGGCGGAGCAGCTGGTTAGCTCTTCACCGCTCTCTGCTTGAAGCTGCTTGCTTGTCAGTTTGTTTTTTAAAGATTCGAATTCTGAAATAGATGTACTAATATGTGTCTTGTGTTTTCTTAAACAGGACATTCAACTGGCGAAGCAAATGGCGGCCTACAAAGCAGCCTACAAAGGAGCGGCGGACAGCCTTACAACGGAGCGGCGGACAGCCTTACAACGGAGCGGCGGAGCAGCTGGTAAGCTCTTCACCGCTCTCTGCTTGAAGCTGCTTGCTTGTCAGTTTGTTTTTTCAAGTTTCGAATTCTGAAATATATGTACTAATATGCGTCTTGTGTTTTCTTAAACAGGACACTCAACTGGCGAAGCAAATGGCGGCCTACAAAGCAGTCTACAATGTAGCGGCGGACAGCCTTACAATGGAGCGGCGGACAGCCTTACAACGGAGCGGCGGAGCAGCTGGTAAGCTCTTCACTGCTCTCTGCTCGAAGCTGCTTGCTTGTCAGTCTGTTTTTTCAAGATTCGAATTCTGAAATATATTTATTAATATGTGTCTTGTGTTTTGTTAAACAGTACACTCAACTGGCGAAGCAAATGGCGGCCTACAAAGCAGTCTACAAAGGAGCGGCGGACAGCCTTATAAAGGAGCGGCGGACAGCCTTACAACGGAGCGGCGGACAGCCTTACAACGGAGCGGCGGAGCAGCTGGTAAGCTCTTCACCGCTCTCTGCTTGAAGCTGCTTGCTTGTCAGTTTGTTTTTTCAAGATTCGAATTCTGAAATTTATGTACTAATATGCGTCTTGTGTTTTCTTAAACAGGACACTCAACTGGCGAAGCAAATGGCGGCCTACAAAGCAGTCTACAAAGGAGCGGCCTACAACTCAGCGGCCTAAGGAGCGGCCTACGACTCAGCGGCCTAAGGAGCGGCCTACGACTCACCAGCTTAAGGAGCAGCAGCCTACGACTCAGCAGCAGATTACGACGCAGAGCAGCTCTGAACCCCTGAACCCTGAAGAGTTGATTCAGCCTGGTGCAGACAAGAGGAGTGGCGGCCTGGTGGAGAGGAGAGGAGATGAACCCCTGAACCCTGAAGGGTTGATTCAGCCTGGTGCAGACAAGGGGAGTGGCGGCCTGGTGGAGAGGAGAGGAGATGAACCCCTGAACCCTGAAGGGTTGATTCAGCCTGGTGCAGGCGGGGGGAGTGGCGGCCTGGTGGAGAGGAGAGGAGATGAACCCCTGAACCCTGCGGAGACGGAGTATGGGCCGTGAAAGCGGAGTATGGGCTGCGGAACCAGAGTATGGGCTGCGGAAGCGGAGTAAGGTCTGCGAAAGCGGAGTATGGGCTGCGGAAGCGGAGTATGGGCTGCGGAAGCGGAGTATGGTCTGCGGAGGCGAAGTATGGGCTGCGGAGGCGGAGTATGTGCTGCGGAAGCGGAGTACGTGCTGCGGAAGCTGAGTGGGGGCTGCGGAAGCGGAGTGTGGGCTGCGGAAGCGGAGTGTGGGCTGCGGAAGCGGAGTGTGGGCAGCGTAGCAGCTTACAGGGAAGCAGCGTAGCAGTCTACATGGAAGCAGCGTAGCAGTTTACAGGGAAGCAGCGTAGCAGTCTACAGGGAAGCAGCATAGTAGTCTACAGGGAAGCAGCGTATCAGTCTACAGGGAAGCAGCGTATCAGTCTACAGGGAAGCAGCGTATCAGTCTACAGGGAAGCAGCGTATCAGTCTACAGGGAAGCAGCGTATCAGTCTACATGGAAGCAGCGTATCAGTCTACAGGGAAGCAGCGTAGCAGTCTACATGGAAGCAGCGTAGCAGCCTACAGGGAAGCAGCGTAGCAGCCTACAGGGAAGCAGCGTAGCAGTCTACAGGGAAGCAGCGTAGCAGTCTACAGGGGAGCAGCGTAGGCGGAGACTGGGTTGCAAGGAGGCTGGGCTGCAAGGAGTAGGCGGAGGCGGAAGCTGCGGAAGCGGTTGCTGCGGAAGCGGAGGCTGGGCGGGAGGGATGTGGCGAAGCAGTGGAGGGATGTGGCGAAGGGTTGCGCGGATGGTGGCTAGATGGGAGCTCAAGGGTGGCCTAAGAGGTGGCTGAGTCTAGTGTGTGGCTCAACCGGTCCTAAGGCGAGTGGCGCGGTGTGGGTGTGGCCTCAGTGGTGATGTGATGGAGGACGGGCCGGTGCTTGGTTCTGGCAGTGCAAAGTCGCCCGGGAGGCTTTGCACTGCCTGGGCCCAGAATCAAGCAATACCGGGTACCTTACACTCCAGGTAGCATCACTGTTGGGGTTGCACTTGCACCACAAGTCAGCACCGCACCGGGGTGGGTGCGGGGGGCTTGAGTCACTGTAAAGAGAAGGGAGACCGCACTGGCGTGGGTGCGGAGATCTTCTCTTACCTCTGAATGATGAGTCCACACTGGCGTGGGTGTGGAAATACTCATTCTAGGTCCACCTGAGGGTTCCCGTTTAGGAGGCTTGCGGTTTTACTTAAAGCCTCGGGGCTTTCTCACACTGGGGTGGGTGTGGGGGGTTCGTCACTTGATGCGTCAGCCTGGAGTCACAGGGAGAGAGGGATGGTGGAGGGGAGCAGCCGCATGATGCAGCAGCCGCCTGATGCAGTTAAGGGGAGAAGCCGCCTGGAGCAGTTAAGGGGAGAAGCCGCCTGGTGCATTTACGGGAAGCAGCCGCCTTTTGCCGTTAAGAGAAGCAGCCGCCCGATGCAGACAAGGGGAGAAGCTGCATGGTCTAGAAAAGGGGAGAGAAACCCCCAAACCTTGAAGGGAGAAGCCGCCTTCTGGTGCAGAGAAGGGGAGAAGGGGAGAAGCAGCCGCCTCATCTAGAATCCCTAAACCTTGAAGCGGAGAAGCAGCAGCTTGGTGCAGAGAAGGGGAGGAGCTGTGGGGTGCAGGAAACTCCCTTAAGCAGTGGGGTTTTTTAGCCGATAAGAACCCCTAAACCCTGAAGGGAGAAGCCGCTTCCTGGTGCAGAGAAGGGAGAAGCCGCCTCCTGGTGCAGAGAAGGGAGAAGCCGCCTGGAGCAGTTAAGGGGAGAACCAGCCTGGAGCTGTTAAAGGGAGAAGAACCCCTGACCCCTGGATGGGAAAAGCAGCTTGGTGCAGAGAAGAAGGGGAGAAGCAGCCTGTTGCAGAGTAAGGGTTGCATTCGCCTGGTTGAGAGAGGGGGAGAGGAACCCCTTCACCTTGAAGCAGAGAAGCAGCAACTTGGTGCAGCCGCCTGGTGAAGACAAAGGGAGCAGCCGCCTGGTGCAGACAAGGGGAGAAGGAGAGAAGCAGCCGCCTCCTGGTGCAGACAAGGGGAGAAGGAGAGAAGCAGCCGCCTCCTGGTGCAGACAAGGGGAGAAGGAGAGAAGCAGCCGCCTCCTGGTGCAGACAAGGAGAGAGGAACTCCTAAATTCTGAAGGGAAGAAGCAGCCCGCCTGGTGCAGAGAAGGGGAGTAGAACCACTAAGCCCTGAAATGGGAGAAGCAGCTTGGTGCAGAGAAAGGGGTGCAGCCGCCTGGTGTAGTTAAAGGGAGAATGGGAGAAGCAGCCGCCTGCTCCAGAGAATGGGAGAGGAATCCCTAAACCTTGAAGCGGAGAAGCAGCCGCCTGGTGCAGTTAAGGGGAGCAGCAGAAGCAGCCGCCTGGTGCAGAGAAGGGGGGAAGCAGTTGGGTGCAGGGAAGCACCCACAAGGAGGTTTTTTAGCCGAGAGATACGGCAGTACCTTGATTGTCAGGGTCTCGGCCCGTAGGCATCCCACCCAACTGGATGCTGATGGGACGGATTTTTTATCCTCCATGGCTTGTGCACAAGCCTTCCAAGAAAAAAAAAAAAAAAAAATGGGGGGAAGCAGTGAATGTGAACGCAGCAGAGAAGGGGAAGCAGCAGTGAAGGGGAAGGCGCAGTCAAGGGGAAGCAGTGAAAGGGAAAGTGAAGGGGAAGCAGCAAAGGGAAAGTGAAGAAGTAAGCAGTGAAGGCAAGTGAAGGGGAAGCAGTGAAGGGAAAGTGAAGATGAAGCAGGAAAGCAGGGGAGTAGAGGAGAACGGCACAAGGAGTAGACAAGAGAACGTCACAAGTACAGGAGTGAGCAGACAAGAAAAGGAGTAGAGGAATGAGCAGAGAAGCAGGGAGTCAAGCCTTCCATGTTGTACATTGGAGGGAAGATGTTCAAGTGGCAAGCAGAGTAGCAGCGGCGAGCTCATTTGTACCCAGTACTAACATGTTTCGATGTATTGAGTAGCTTGTTACTGGTTATGTGGTATCTCAGGGTTGAGGGTTCTATTCCCATGTTTCACGAAATAATCAACAATTCAATCTGCAGAGTTGGAACAGTGACTAGATTCAATGGTTTTCGACATATACAGAAAATACCTTAATGTTATCAGATCATGGTTTTATAAATACCCTGGTTTGAACAAAAGGCATCCTGCTCTCACATCCACAAACTGCAGTTGTCTAGTACACCAATCCTCATTAAATTGAACTCCCTGGTCTGGATCAGAAGCCGGTGTGGACATGCAATTGTAATGTTGAACGAAGAACATGTAAGTACCGTACTGTACCCATTGAAAGATCGAGGTTATTATGAGTGCGCCACCCAACCGTACTTGCAGCGACACACTAGTTGACTTGAATACGAGAGTGATGTTCATGTAGGTCCGCTGCTAACAGCTTCCGCAAGGCCATGGTAATTGCCCCTGGAGAACCTGAATCATGGAAGTAGAATGAACAGGTGTCAGCAGTAATCATTACGGCCCTGGAGCAACAGAACTTTGTTGGAACCTTACCGCTCGCAATGATCTGGTCATCCCATTGAATCACAGGGGTCACCAACACCCCGCTGCCCACAAGCATCATTTCGTTGCACTGTCGTGCTTCAGCCTCTGAAACTGGCCGGTGGCATATCCTGCTTATCCTAGGAACTGAATCTTCTTTCAACAGTTCTTCTGCAAGTGCCAAAACTCGTTTCATTGTACACCCCGCCAATACCTGCAACACACTGCAACGATTTAGCATCCCTGACCACAAAGACGGAGGGCAAATAAGAAACTGAAGAGCACGGAATAAAACTCACCCGACTGAATTCGGGAACAAGGAACTCGTTTTTGTCATTAACAAACTGCCAGCGGAACAGCATACGAGTGGACGTTAGAAGAAGAACCATCAGCCTTGCAATGCCCATTTCACCTCAAAAAGCATTGCCTGAACTTACGGCAACATTCATGCTGGGACCTTCTCCAACGTTGCCATTCTCATCAATCCAAATGCCTTCAAATACACCCCTCTGCACAATCCAACACACAGGCTAACATAGCGTTCCCATCCACAAAATGGTGCAAGATATGCTGTAAGGTTCGCCCATACCTCTTCAGCCTCCTTCTTCACTAGGGAATTGGGCATGTAATTTACATTTTTCATGGTTGAAAACATTGGAGCTTTCATTGGAACACTTGACGTAGCCTGCAAGTTGCGAAACGAGCACACTGACCTCAGACACCAATCGTCCACTGAAGGAAACGACAGTAAGACCAAGGAAGAGTAACCGACCACTGTAACCCCGGCAACTGGAGCCTCCAGATTTGTGAACTTATTATCCGCAACGACCATGACGTAAAAGGTACTTCTTGGACACCTGCAAGTGTGGATGACGGTAATTAATGACTGACCAGCAACCCCTGGAATGCAACAAAGACACATGGCAATGCGCCTACTCTTTTGTGGATAAAGTGAAACCACCAGGTCCAACTGAGAGCCAGTATCGAGTACTGCCGTCCCTCACTCCACTGGCTGCACACGTATTGTGAGGACAGAAAATTCACCTGACGCGTCATTGAATAAGGACTTGCGCCTACGATACGTCATGTGCATGCGTGAGAGTGAAGTTACTGACCAGCGACAGTCTGGATGATAATAGCTTTAAGCTCTTCCCGAGAATATGAGTGTTCAATTCTTGCTGCACGAGCTGACTTGATAAAACGGTCAACATGCTCATCTAGCTCATATAAGTACCTGCACGTGGAAAAGAAATGGCCAGAATTTAATCCTTGAGCGCTGCAACGGGCATCAAGAAACCCAAAATTATTAGCGCGACTTACCCTGAGCAAATAATGGCGGTGTCAAAAACAGCGTGGCCTCTGTGAGCCATGTGATCGTCAATAGGAATTACCATCGCTGCTGGATCCTTCGTAATTCCACCAATCACACTCGAGTAAAACGCGCGATAGTTTTGTTGATTAGGATGCTTGTGGCCAGCAAGCCTCTCCGCCACCTGATAAACGCGTTTGACTGTGAGATAAGTCCTGAGAAGGGAAAATTGACATTGTGCTGACAAATACCTACCTCTGTTCGCGAAAGGACAGGAATTGAGTCCACATTCGTAACTTCGCTCAGAATTGTGGCAGGCGCAACGCAACTGCTCCTGCAGGGTTTCAAGGGCTTAGAACGTGGCAATTCCTTGAACCGAGGGCTGAAGGAGTGGCACAGAACCTCAAGCGAAACGGACACGCGATTGGAGCTGCGTGCGGACGAAAGAGATGTCGACAGATTGGGAGAACTATCCACTCCAAGAAAACGGGCGGGTGCGGATAAAGCGCTAGAGGTGAAGGACGCCATACTGAAAGAATTGACAGACGCAATACTGCTAGAAGTGTAGGACGCACACTGATTGTGAGAATAAGAGTGACAAACAGAAGATCATAAACGAAGAACCTGGACGGGAAGACTGCAAACATGGGCAACCAAATCGCACTGATGACTGGGCTGGACCTTGTACGATGATAAGTGCCTCGACATTGCTTCGATGCGATAAGCATAGGATAGAATCAATCCATTCTTCTGCGACCCTCTTGATCAAGGATATGCAATTGCAAAAAAAACGAGCTATTTACACTATGCCAACAGCAATACAAATCCACATTAGCATTTTCCAGCCCATGATGCTGCAGTATCATTGCCTAGTCAGAAGAACCTATAACATCATCTTCTTCAGCAGCTTTTTCAAGAAACTCCTTGGCTCTATTGAGGAGTGGATGGCAATCAACATCAGGCGCATGGAGTGTTTTGCTGCTCTGCACCTTCATGGCAAGGTCCACGGCAAGTGCCCGCCACTGCTGCTCCCTCTTCTCAGCCACAGCAATCTGAAAAGCAAGGACCACAAAAAACAGCGCCAGGTCAATAAAAAACTCACAGCCATCTTCCAGTTGAACACAACAATGACCCTTTGCCAGCTAGTTGGCAATGCAACATGCACTCACCCTGTGGCGTGCATCCATTTCCAGCATGTGTGATGCCGAGCGCACACTGAAGGAATTCATCAGCAGCAGCGGACTTTGATCTGTCCAGCAGCCTGGCAGGCCTGAGGCACCGGAACTTCTCCCCTGCTTGCTTGCACCACTGCTCCTCCTGCCACCAACTCCAATGCCTCCACTCATACTGCTCCTGCTAGAAGCACTGTTTCGCTTGCTGCTGGGAACAGGAATGGCTGGTTCACTAAAGGCCCTTCCATGCCTCCTTCCACCTGAATCCCTCTGCTCCATCCGCCCCTTCTTGTTGGGAGTTTCAACCACCATTTCCTCAATGTTGTGCCTGTCTGCTCCTTGAGTCAATTCCTTGCAGCCTTCATGCCTTCTAGACCAACCCCCATCCAGCACCGCTGCAGTGTGAGCAACACTCGCACATTCCCTCCCTGCTGTCACCTCAGCCCCTTGCTGTGCCCTTCCCTCACCAACCAATTCAGCGACAGGTGATACCTCAAATGATACACGCCTGCTAAGTCGCCCTTGTTCTGTTGTCATCCCACCACCAATTCGATCGCATCTCTCCGTGCTCCCCCGTCTAACCATACGCCTCATCTGCTTCCTCCCTTCAAACACATGAGCTTGTGCCGCTGATCCTGCTGGTGTTCCTACCGTGGCTGCTGCATCTCCGCCTCCTGCTATGACTGCCGTTGATGCAGCTGCGACTGCTACAGGAGCTAACACCACAGCTCGACTCGCTGCAGCCTCTGCTGTTGCTTCCATGGACCATGCCCCTACATGAGGAGTACTCCACACACCTGATTTGTTGAAAACACCCAAGTTTGAACTAACAGCTGGAGGCACACCGGCTGGGCTGCTGCTGCCGGAGCTGCCTTCAATAACTGGAGGGAGAGAGGCCATGGACAATTCATGCTCCATGCCAGCCAGAGGCAGGAACATCACTCCGCCTTGGTGACCCTGCTCCCCCCTAGCTCTCCTCCTCCTCCTCCTCCCCCAACAGCTGCTGAGTCTCTTGCAGCTCTGCATTCACGAGCTCTTCCCCAGTCTTCAGCCATAACACCAGACGTGCTTGGATCCACATTGCCTCCGCGGACCACATCACCAGCTGTGTTCATAGAGGCTGGTAAACTTCCTCTTCCTGCTGCTACTGTTCCTCTTGAACCTTCATCTGCTCCTGTGCCTGCTCCTCCACTCCACAACACTCCACCACCCCACACTCCACTCCCCCATACCCCACCTCCCCAGCCCGACCCAGCTCCAAACCCAAGAGAAAGAATGTTCATGAAGCTCGAATTTTTCCGAATCGTGTCAGCTGCAACAGGCGCAGAGGAGTAAGCAGCAGCAGCAGTGGAAACAGAGGGATGATAAGCCAGGGAGGCTTGAGAGGCAGAGGCAGAGTCAGCAGGGGCTGGGAATGGGTGAGGGGCATCCTTTCGGCCCATGATGGCGCCTGACTTGTCGGTTGAGACGGCAGTGGGGTGGCGGAGAACGCTGGGGAGAGAGGAGAGGGAGGAGAGGTTGCGGAGATTCTCCCAGGAGGGCGCGTGGGGGAGGAAGTGGGGGCGGCGAAGGGTAGCTGGGACAGGCTGAACGTCATGAAACTTGGTGAAGTCCTGCACAAGTGGGGGGATACACGGAAATTGATTAGGTGCTGGGACTGTGGAAGTGGGGTCAACAAGAAATGAAATGCTGCAAGCAGCAAGAAAGAGAAGTAAATACTATGTGCATATGTGTGTGGGCGTTTGTGGAGAGCAAGAGAGAGCAGGCGTGAAGATGCTGGGGAAATTGGACTCAGAAAGAATGGAACAACGGATATGGCAACTCACCACGCATCGGACTCCGCTTGGTGATCGCCTGACCATGGTGCTGCCACAATAAATGAAACGAGATATGTACATAACAAGGATGAGCAAGCAAAGAAACGAACAGTCTGTACTTTCATAAGCCATAAGAGAACATATTTTTTGACAATCCAACAGCAGGCAGTGATGCAAGTTAGAGGGTGTGCGGATCGTGGTGGCGACGAGGAGAGTGTGTGTGTGGTGGTAAAGAACAGATGAGAGTTTCCAACTCACCAAAAGCGGTGGTTGAACTTGATGTCACGAGGCGAGTAGGAATGCCGGGCTGAAGTCAAAGGTGTGCATAGGGGGAAGCAACCAGAGATAAGCACAGCGGAAGTAACTGAGCAAGCAGAGATTAAGTGCCGCAGGGTGCGCACACAGCAGCAGACAAAAGAAGACACGAAAATTGTGTTGACGAATTTGCACAAATGCTTAGCATCAGAAAATGCACAGCAAATCATAAGCACCTTGCAGCTTGGCTGATGTGGGAGCATCCACGCCCTCAATAAGCACAAGGAACTCAATGTCAGCGCGCTCCATCATCTACACTCACACCCACGTGGGACAGAGGATGCAGGATGGTTATTGAAGACGTGTAAAAGTTGGTTGAAATATAATAGTGACATGAGAAGGCATTATTGAAAGATATGCTCCAAAACGGAAGAACATAGGAAGAAGCAGCAGAAAGACATATACAATGGATGCAAAATGAGACGGGACAGGGGACTCACAGCAAGGGACATGCCATGGAGTGGGCTGTGCTTCGTGATTGCATGCGTGATGACGCAGGGGAGAGCAAGAAAGACGAAGCCTCCTCCAAGGATCTGCGATGCAAGGACACGCAGAAAAGATGGAAGACGACTTAAAGAGATCTGTCCAAATGACAAGCACAGCGTGCTACTATCCCAAATCATGCAGCTAGCAGTCTGGCACCAAGAGGCCGAGAGGGGGTGGGGTGCCGTTTGACTGAAACACGGGATCGCCGCAAGATTCTTCACAGGTGCAATAAGACTGACCGGAAGATTGGAGAACTTAAAGAGCGCCTCATTTTCTGCACTCATAATATTGTTGATTGCCACCAGCAGCTGTGCATGCGCCTGCAAGAACAGAAAATTTATTAAACAATAAGCAATCAGCAAAGCCTAATCAACCTGATCAGGCTGTTGCACTTGGTGCTTACCTCAATGAGTTGGTGCTTGCGAACGTTAGCAACCCGAAATGAAAGGCGAGGCACTCCATCTTCCTGCCATAACGCAAATTTAAGCCAGGGCAACACAGTAGGAGCAGCTCAGCGTCAAGACACGGAAAGTAAAGCCATGGCAGGCTCTGAGGCACGAGAACAGCAGCAGCAAGAAACATCACCTCGTTGAGCACCATGCAGTGGCTGAACACGAGTGATGACGCTCGACGGGAGGGAAGGGCAAACCTGCAATGATGGCAAAACGAACATATCACATCATTGCTGCCTGACGAGCAATCAGTGTGTCTGTGATATCCATGCCAGCATATCAACATCCTACTCAAACAGTTACTTCCATGCTGTCCACTTACCGTGTGTAGACAATCCCCAGCAAAGCATAGGCGACAATCAGAGCAGCAAGTGATTGGAGGGCTATAAGGAGGTTCAGTGTGAAGCAGTCAGGATCAGGGACCAATTCTCCCCCAAACCCTGCATACAAGAAGGATTCAGCGTAGCAGGAAGGAAGACATCAGAAGGGGTGGGTGGGGTCTGCCAAAGGCTGCAAGCAAAAGATGACACATGTTGAGAATGGGACGCAAGTGTCACAACACTACTTACCAATGGTCATGGCGGACTGAACACTAATTGATTCCAAAAACAAAAAAGATGTTGAAGATCGAGGTATAAATGTTGCCACAGCGAGTCCACAGACAAGAACGAAGAGGATGTCAGGCACAGCTCAGGAAGAAAAGCGAATTGTTAGCAGTTATTTGTCTCACCTGAACCATAAAGCATGCCAGTAATTTTTAACCCCGGATGCAATTATACTGCACAGACTGGTCACATAGATGCACACTCCACACATTCATCAGAATAAACTCAACCATGGTTCTGCTTCAATAAAAACTGGGCACTTACAAGCTATACATCGACGTGAGGGAGAAAAAAAAAACCGTGATGCAAAGAGAGGTCCGAGAGCTGATGCCCACCTGGTAGTAATAGGGTAGAGCAAATCCTCCAAATAGCAGCGAGTAGCCTAGCAGAAGTAACGGGTAGAAGCGGACGTTAGGGATCTGCAAAGAACAGGTATAATGACAGCTGTCACACGTCAGGTGAAAGAGTAACTATTTTGTCAATTTTGGAGTGCATGAAGCATCTGCTATCTAGTGTGATCCAGCTGATCCAGCAAGATCAGGAACATGCAGCAATCAGCAGCGAGCGCCTGGAATAACCGTACGTTAATCAGTGTGTGAAATAGATCACTCCAATACGCTGTCAGCTTGGGAACTCCACGCCGTTCCACATTCAATCTACCCCTGTACGCACAAAGCGAAAGATGCTGTCAGAGCAACAAGCGGAGTGAGAGGCGGCAGAGAGAGAGAGAGAGAGAGAGAGAGAGAGAGAGAGAGAGAGAGAGAGAGAGAGAGAGGGAGAGAGAGAGAGAGTGAGAGTGAGAGTGAGAGAGAGAGAGAGAGAGAGAGAGAGAGAAAGAGAGAGAGAGAGAGAGAGAGGGAGAGAGAGAGAGAGAGAGAGAGTGAGAGAGAGAGAGAGAGAGAGAGAGAGAGAGAGAGAGAGAGAGAGAAGAGAGAGAGAGGTTCGAAGTACCCGCCTCATCAGAGAGCAGATTAAAGAAGCTATCGACTCACGATGTATCGACCAACGGCAGCTTGGCTGGTTTCTGCTCCATGTCGCCTTGCGACCCACGTTTCCGCAAGAACGATCCATAAGGAGTTCTTTGCTGGTTCGTCGCCTGCTTTGTGTGCACCGGAAGCAGCGGTTCCCTGTCATTCCAGCTGTTATCGCGTCGTAAATTGCTCCGACTGCCGCTGCTACAAGCAGACTGTGGACTGTCAACGGGGCTCCTACTGCCTGAGCTGCTTGGTCCAGGATCGTACGAAACCGTTATTTCGCCTTCGACACGCCGCTTTGGCATCGGATCGAAGCGAAGAGCGGATGTAATAAGGCGTCTTTTAGAGTGAGTACCACGGTTACTACTCCAGAAAGAGTCTCGGGAAACCGATGGTTCTGCCAATGACGTGCTTGATAACCCACGTGCCTTGGGAAGAAGTGAATCACGTGATCAGGGAGTGCCCACCAGCGCAACCCCCAGCTGGTGTGTGGTATGTTCTGCGTGTGGTGTGGTAGCTTGAAATCCAAAAGCAAAATTTTACACAACCTCATTCTCTGAATTTGCAGTGCAGTCTTGCTGTTTGCCTTATAGCTTGTACACAGCTGGCTTAGAGTGACACACTGAACGGGGACAGCGAATGAGGGAATATGAGGGAGTGACGTGGACTTCGAACTGCTTGCGGTGGATGTGCCAGCTGTCCACAGTTCCCCCCCTTTTTGCCTCGGCGATACCTGGAGCCTTCACTTGTGCTCCGAACCTAGCCTTCTTTCGAATTGCCATGTCAGGGAGGGCTTGCTGTAAGCCGAGCCTCGCCGGAAATGCGTTTGCCTGGCAAACCAGTCACACAACCCACCTCCATATTTCAATACTTCCATTCACATTCCGACTTCAGTCCCTGAAACTTGCTGATTTTGTGTTCCTTGTCAAAGAGTCGCAGCTGGTAAATAGGTGGCTATGGCTCTTCAGCCTGTGCACTCGCTTCGCGTGCACTCCTCGCCGAGAGTATCGCATTCTATCTGTTCCGCCGGAAGCAGACCACTTACCGATGTCGCACTGCAATCCACGCATTCCGTCAAGGCTAATAATATAGCATCTATTGCAAGCTTACGAAGCCATGGTTTTGCCTCCTCTTACCTCCGTCCAGGGCCGTGCCTTCCTCGTGTCGTCTCAGTAGCCTCTCACAGGAGGGCTCTTGTCACAGCTGCCTCGGCGGGTCAAAATGAGTCAATCGCACACGAGAGCAGTGAAGCCTTAGCGCCTGATGTTCCTTCTAGAGCAGCACCAGGACATGAGCTGAAGGAGTCATTGGACTTGATAAAGAGTCGCTTAGGAAAATCCTCTACAAAGCTGTTTGCAAACCCGTCGCATAGTGTTCGCGAAGCATGCGACCAACTTGGACGGCTTGTAGCGTCTATCGCTATTACAGCTACAGTCCTGTCATCTGCCATGCCGGCATACGCTGGTGCAGTGGTGGCACCGCCACGTAAGCTCATGGCGGATGAGCTGGCGACTGTGAAGCTGTTCAACGAGAACACCGCGTCTGTCGTGTACATCACGAACCTCGCCACTAGGTACGTGGATGTCCGCTCAATCACAATTGCACCTCTTGGATCGGCATTTGCGACGAGGATGTAAGGTGACTGGAGAATGCACAATGAAACATACGAGGACTTGGAAACGGTCAGAGAAAGGGGGTTGGCAACGCATGGCAGCCTGAACTCATGTCATAGAACTTTAACTCGACGAGAGATGGGTTCACCAAGTACACATCCGTGTCCATACCTCAATGGTTACGCATGCTTGCATGTGATCACCCCTGTGAATGTGATCACGGGTATGTGACAGTGCATGGGAAAACGTGTATGTCTCATTATGTGCATGCGACTGTCGTTGCAGGAAGGACGCGTTCACACTGGATGTGATGCAGGTGCCTCAAGGGACAGGGTCAGGCTTCATATGGGACACGGAGGGTCATGTGGTTACCAACTTCCACGTCATCAGACGCGCCTCTGATCTCAGGTATCGTCTAGGGATGAAAGTCTTTCGTGCGCATGCATATGAATTGACGATCGTTGCACATTACAGCCTGGAAATGTCAATGCATAGCTACAGACAGACCTTTAACGCAGCTCTATCCCTCTCCTTCCTCTCTTCCCTGCTCCCAACATCCTCCCTTTCAGAGTGACCTTAGCCGACCAGTCAGTGTACGAGGCGACAGTGGTGGGAGCGGATCCCAACAAGGACGTGGCAGTGCTGCACATCGATGCTCCCCCTGAGAAGCTCAGACCGCTGCCTGTAGGCTCCTCCTCGGACCTCCTGGTCGGCCAGAAGGTCTTCGCCATTGGCAACCCCGTGAGTGCTGCTCCTGCCATACGTCGCTTGTTGCCTAACCCTCTTGAATTGAATCCCATCGTCCATTCTTCTTCGCATATTTGTTGTTCCCCCTACTCAGTATGGCTTTTCCCATTGGTCTGTGCTCTGTATTTCCCTAATGGGCAACCTCTCTTTCTGTATTCCCCTTCCCTTTTCTTTTCTGCTTGGTCATGCCTTAGTTCGGACTCGACCACACACTCACAACAGGAGTCATCAGGTACAGTTTTTTCCCACTCTTCTTCCTGTCCCCTTTCACTCTCACTCACTCTCTCAGCCCTTTGGATATTTTCTGGTGATACTTCCTCCTCTCCTCCAACCATGCAACTTGAACGTCCATGTTCCCCCACGCCCCACCACTTTTTCCAGTGGATTGCAGCGTGAAATAACGTCAGTGACGCGGCGGCCCATTCAGGACGTGATTCAGACCGACGCAGCCATTAACCCTGGCAACAGCGGGGGCCCTCTCCTCGACTCCAGTGGCACCCTCATTGGCATCAACACCGCTATTTATTCACCATCTGGCGCATCCTCGGGCGTTGGATTCGCCATCCCTGTAGATACAGTAAGTAATTTAGAACCTCAGGAAATGAATTGACTCCTCTCACTCCATCTCACTCTCCTCATGTGTCCCATCTTCCCCATCTTTGGGTAATAAATCCATCATGTTTCACGTCGAGCAGCAGATGTCCTGCACAGACCTCTCATGCTTCATGGCACGTGCTTGGAATGTCACTCACAGAGACTCATTCATGGCATGTGTGGCAGGTGAGTGGCATCGTGGATCAGATAATCCTGTATGGCCAGGTCACACGGCCTGCCCTCAACCTCGCCTTTGCACCGGAGCAGCTGGTGGATCAGCTGGGCATCTCGGGGGTGCTCGTGCTCGAAGTCAACCCCAATGGCGCCGCTGCCAAGGCCGTGAGTCCATGCATCGTTTCGGCTCTTTGCATCGTTACCACAAAGTTTTCTTGTTTTTAGAATTCACACTAATTCGTTTGAATCCAACGCAGCGCTTGACGCTGATATGATAGGTGACAAAAAAGAACAATATTCGGAAACACAAGTGCCGATTTCCCATCCCTTTCTGCACCCGAAACCATCTAGCCCTCTCTTTGACCTCCCCTCCTGCTCGTTGTGCTCAGGGCCTGCGCCCCACGTCGCGGGACAGCTTTGGGAGGCTAATGCTGGGGGACATCATCACAGCCATTGATGGCAAGCCCATCTACTCCGGCTCGGACCTCTACAAGATCCTTGACAAGTGCAAAGTTGGCCAGACGGTGAGTGTGCTCATGTGCCTACGTTCAGAATATGCACCTGTGGGTAAAGGTGAAGATGCAGATGTGTGTGACACATGTGACGCCATTGCTGGACTCTTCTACATGTCTTTTTGCAATGCTCTGGTTTCTGATGTGCTTAAAGTGGTGCTGGGCAGGTTGATGTACGGCTGCTGAGAGGAAACGAGGAAGTTGTGGTGCCCGTGACTCTGGATGGGCTGAGTGGGTGAACTGTTGCTGGATGAGATATTTTCAGCTGTGCTAGCTGGAAACAGTGCTCGAGGAGCTCTTGCTGGATGAGGATACATGTCCAGCTGTGGTAGCTGAAATTGAGACTGCAGAAATGATTTCACTATTTACTCTAGGTACTGATACATCTCATCTTGCAGCTTTTGTAAGTACCAGAGGCCATTGTGCAGCAGCACACATAGCAACATATAACACCACAAATGACAATACTATTTGTGCAGCGGAGCAGCACCTTTTGGAGGCACAGTTTTGGCCCTGGGTCTATTTAAGAACTCCTCCACTATCCCCAGAAACTCATCTTCCACGAAGTTGCTTTTCATGCCTTGGACTGTCTGGTTTCGCGGTGTTCGTTCCTTCAGAGGAGTCCGCACATTTGAATCTCCTGATCCTCCTCTTCTATGCCTGTGCCTGCCCGTGTACCCTGCTTTCTCCACCGTGCACCTCCCTTCCTCTGCCTTCTCCGCGACTGCTCTCTTGGGCCTTGTCTGTTTCACCCCTCCGAGTGCTGCAGCAAGCCTCTCCTGTCTGGCATGGGATTCCCTCGCAAGAATCGCCACGGTCACGGTGTGCATCTTCAGCATCCCTGACTCCGCCTGCAAACCACCCTGTCCCCGTGCCGCTCTCTCTTGAACCCCCTTCTCCCCCCTTTGCCCCTCATGCCTCCCTCCACGCGTCCTCTGCGGGGACCTCGCCCATGCGGGCCGGTAGAGGCATTCAGACCTTGAGCTCAACAGCCCACCGTCATCGCACTCCTCCTCCTCCTCCTCCCCCTCCTCCAGGTGTTTCAACAACTGGTGGGAGATAGCAGAGGGACGCCTGCTGCCTCTGACCTGAGAATCCCGCCTCGATTGTGCCTCAGCCACTGCCCCTTCCGCTGCATCCTGGATGGCTGGATGGTTCAATGCGAAAGGGCTGACAGCAGCAGGGAGCAGTAAAGCAGCATGCGCACTTGGGTCTGACGCGAGTAGGATTGCTGCGTCGCTTTCGCTGTGGTGCAGAGGGGTGGGGCTGCTGAGGAAGCTGGAGACAGAGTCGGGCAGCACAGCCCATGAGAGAGGTGCACCCAGGGCGAAGTGGGACGCACTGTTGGGGCTCGTGACACTCTTCAAAGTCACTTGCCTCGCCAACGGCTGCTGTGGCGCCTGCTGCGCGCCTTCCAACTCCACCTCTGAGCTGCTCACATCGCGTAAAGCCGCCCTCGGCGTTGCTGTACCATCCATGCGGTATGCACCACCTCCCACGTCGGCTGTGGCGAGCGCGCTCTCAACAACGCTGTCGTCTGGCGCATTCAACAATCCACACTTCCCCTCCCCGTCCTCCTTCCCCTCTCCACTCCCGCGTCCCACATCTCCCTCCGCAACCCCCTCCTCGCTGCCAACACAGAGCGCTTTTGCACGCCTCTCCCACTCCGCCCCTCCGCCTCTCTCCGCGTCGCTCCCTGCCTCGCCTGGCGCCGCCAGCCGTACCGCCAAGTCGCCCACCACCACGCGCTCCAGCGCCTTGGTCGCTGTCCGTCTCGCGTGCCTCCCTCCTGCCACTGCCGCTGATGGCGCCCGTGCTGGTGGCCCTGCAGGTAATTCTGGCGGTTGTGAATCAAAACAACGGTCGCTGAGTGGAGAGGCCCGTTGCGCTACGGAAGAGGTCTCAAGCGGCGGACTCAACTGGGTGTTGCGTGTGCGCCAAGCGACAAGCAAAGGAAAACAGCTACCGCTCAAGCCACGAGTACACTTTCCAATGCGCGACGACGGCTCGTCCTCGCATTCAGCGGCGTCGACGAGCTGCGCGTTCCGCGGAACGGCATCGGTTGAAGCAGCCGCGGCCATGGTTGGAGGGAGGGTGTGACGATGGCGACGGTGTCGATGGCCGCGGGACGGCGGTGGGACACGGCAGATAATGAGGAAGCGACGGCAGCGCGGCTGGCGGCGCGGGAGGTTTCGAGCTTGTCGTGCTACGCCGTGCTGGGAAGTAGACGGTTCTAGGCGACTTGGCACCTGGAAGGACGGGCTTAGCGAACCGGGCGCGGGCAAGCTTTGAGCGTGTTGGCGAGTGGAGCGACGGGGAGGGTGAAGGCAGAGGCACGAGGCAGAGCGGTCGGCGTTGTTATGCACGGAGGGGGAGAGCAAGGCGATCACACGCGCCTCGTGCGCGCAATTCGCGCTCGCGGGAGTCGGGCATCACCATGCTGGGGCGGACTAATCGCTCCGGCCTTCGCTTTCTATGGGCAATCAGCGAGTGCGGCGCTACTGTAGAGACGGCCTCACTTTCGCCAGCTAAGCTCCTCCGAGCTTTTTTATTGGGCGAATCCTGCGTAACTGCGGATTATGTGGATGGCGCGTTCACGGCACGGTGGCAGATCTCGTATCATCGACCGCGCGGAGGACCGGCAGTGGCCCACTGGCGAGGCCTGCGGCGTAAGTGCGAGCAAAGGAGGAGGGCTAGGCATGGTTGAGATAGTGGGTGCAAGTGGGGACAGCGGACGGTAGCAGAACACGAGTTAGGAACAGAGAACAGCTGCTACACAGAGCCAAAGCAGGCCCACACATGCAGCTGGCGTAACAGGTCCTCGCCGCAGTACGCAGCGAGAAGGGAAACAGACCACAGAAAAGCGCAACTGGCTTTCGCCCCTGGTATCTGATCTGAATTTCACGAAGGGCTTACCAGTATTGTACAAAGCATAGATCTTGCATACAATAGCAAAATAGGAAAATGCTACTAACCAACACTACATTCCTAAAATCAAGCACCGTATTTCTCTGGCAATAATTGTCAATCATCATGCCAACTCATACCAGAGAACCCAGAACCAGCGTCCAATTTGTTTGCCTGCTCCAGCCAGATCTGGCCACTAAGCCATCTCATATGCAGTAACACCAAAACACCCTCACGAGTATTGTATGATCTAACGATGTGCAATGAGATCACTGAACCAACTCATCCAGCTGGCCCCACACTGCTGTTGCGATTTCCTCCAAGGTCTTCACATCAGAGAGCTCTTTCCGATAGCGAAACACACGACTGAGCGCATCATTCTGATTCAGCAGAGTGTAGCACCTGTGAAAGGCAGAGATAGTGAACGCAGAGGGTTAAAATGACTGCACAATAATCTGTACCACCACCTTCTCTAAAGTGTCAGCTGAGGCATTCCCAAACCACTCACATGGCACGGTAGGACTGGGTGAAGTTTGGCCCTGCTCCTTGCGTTGGCCGTGGCGGCTTGTACGTGGTGAGAAGCCTGGCAAGGTCGGGCTTGTTGCAGCGCTGGGCGCTCACATGCAGCATCACCAGGTCGTACAGGGGGTCACCTGGTGTGCCGTGCACGTGGGGGCGCATGCATGGGGGACAGATCAGCATGCGAGGGTTGATGATTCAAAACACATGCGTGGGGATGGGCAGCATCAGCAAAACATCTTGAATATGGTACCCGGAATGCAAAGCAGGCGGAGAGCAGCACCGCACCGAGAATGAGGGTGCCGAAGTCGATGATGGAAGACGGCTGCAGCACGCGCTCCCCGTCACCTGCCACCTCCTTCTCTCCACCCTCCCCTTCTGCGCCCGGCTTCGCGCCCTGGCTCTTCCCCGCGCCGTCCTTCCCGCGTGCCACAAAAGACTCGATGATGGGCGTGGCAGCGGGTGAGGCGGCAGTGAGCAGCACGTTGTCGCTCATTATGTCCGTGTGTAGCCATGACGGGCGCTCCTGCCGTGGCACGTGCACACGGGGGAAGAAAACGAATGGGTACATGACGAGTGGGGTTCACGGTATGGGAATAAGGGAGGATAAAGAAGGTGGAACAAAAGAGGCAAGGAGAGGAGTGAAGATTGAGGTGAAGGGGTGAATGGGCAAGCAATGAGGTTCGTTGAGCAATGTACAGCGGCACTTGTAGCAAGCAGGCTGGAGAAAGTAGCAAATAAGATAGGAGGGAAGCGGGCGTGGCAGGAGGGAAGAAGGGAAGGGAAGAAGGAAGGAACTGACAAGGCCCTGGAAGAGCAGTGCGGGGTCCTTGGGCAGATATGCCGCTGCTTGCTTCACCAGGTGTGGAGGGAGGCTGCCCCTGGTGGCGTGAGAGTGGGGTAGAGAGGGAGGGAGGTGGGTGAGACGCATGGAGGGCGCATGGCATGGGGCAGATGGACCGCGAACAAGTGGGGTGTGGGGAAGAGGGGGATTAGGAAAACGAACGACATTAGGCTGTTGGAATCTTCCCACTCTAACGCCCTCCTGTCAGACACACCGGCCTGGTGCCACTCACATGTCCTCCAGCCGCTCCTTGATGTACTTGCGGTGCTCGCGCATCATCTCTGCAAACGGCCGCCACTCCTCACTCACCACCACCTCCTCCTCCTGCTCCTGCTCCTTCCCACCACTCTCCACCGCCCCGTTCCCCGCCCCCTCCGTTGCACTCCCGTTCTCCTTTGGTGCCTCCCCTGCTGCGCCCTCCGCCCCAGTCTTCGTCTCCTTGCTCTTGCTCTTGGCCTTGCGGGGCGCGGGGGAGAGTGGCGAGGAGGGCAGCGGCAGCGAGTGCAGGTGGGAGAGGCACGCCGCAAAGAAGTCCGCCAGAGCCTGCCGGTCCCCTGGCGTTGCTAGGTCAGCCCTGGGGTGAGTGACAGGAGGGGGAGAGGAGCGAGAGGGGCGGGGTGGGTGGGAGAGAGGGAAGGGGGCAAAGTGAGGCACGAGAATAAGGGAGGAACAGGAGTGGGGTGCGTTCATGGTAACGGCGAAGGTATGGAGAGGGGAGCTGTGATGGGGACAGCAATGTGCATGCGATGTCCGTATTCATCAGGAGAGGTCTGGAGCATGAGCATGTGTGCGTGTGAGCATGTGAGCGTGTGAGTGCATGAGCAGCGCAGCACTCACACAGCATCCAGCTGCCACCCGGGGCACCGCCCCGTGATGATGTACGGCCACACTCCCTCCTCCTCCTCTTCCTCATCCTCCTCCTCATCATCATACTCCTCCCCTTCCTCTTGCTCTGCTTCCCCCTTCTCTCCCTTCCCCACCCCCACCCCGCCGTCCTTCCCCTTCTTCCCTTTAGCCAGCTCCCTCCTCCGCCGCCTCTCCTCCGCCTTCTTCTTGGCTCGCCTTCTATACGCCGGGGTCCGCCTATCCCTCCCCTCCTCCTTCCCCTTACCGCTCGTCCCCTTCTTCCCCCCCCGCCCTCGCGCCACCGCCCCCTGTGTGTCCTCGAACGGGTAGGAGGGGCGGTGCTCCGTCAGTCCGTCCCACTCTGCTGCCACCAGCTGCTCCTCCTGTGGCGCCACACTCACCTCAAACGGGTACCCCTCCTGCCTCTTCTCCCCTTCCGCCCCTTCCGCCCCTTCTGCCCCCGCCTCTCCCCCCTCGCCGTCTGCACTCGGCCCATAGCTCCCCACCCCATTCGCCTGCGCATCCTTCTGCGCCTCTGCACCGTCCTTCCCTCCTCCCCTCGCCGCCCCATTCTCCTCCTCGCTCTTGTCCACCACCCCTGATGAGAAGAGCAGGCCGGACGCCACGAGGGGCGGAATGCAGGGCAGCAGGGGGGACTGGAACGCGTGTAGCTCGCGGTAGAATGCGAGCTGCGCGAGGGGCAGGGGGGTGGTTGGTGGGTGGTGTTGGGGGGAAGAGGGTGGGGGGAGCACGAGTGATGATTGTGATTGACATGAGCTGGAGGTGGAAGGGTAGCTGCGACAAGGAAGCGGGTTGGCATTGGGTGAGGTGGAGACACAGGCAACGCAAGTGAATGATTGGTCAGATAAGAGAAAGGTGAGCACAAAGCAGCAGTGCAATTGCGTTTTTGAACGACGTGTGTGAAGGCATGGACGCAAGCAGGCAGGGCAGGGCAGGGCGTGCGGTGGGTACCTCCTTGGCGAGGAAGGTGGCGGCGGACTCGTCATGAGAGCCCATGGGCAGATACAGCTTCACCACGTGCTGCCCCACCATGTACACCTGCATGGCCATGGGGGGAAGAGCGGGGAGGTGATGAGAGCCCTCATGGCGTGTACAGGGACGGAAAATGAAAATCAACAAGAACGCGGAAAGGAGAGGGAGTGGTTGGGGGAGAGAGTGGGGGGGGCGAGAGAAGGGGGGCAGCAGGAGAAGGGGGGAGGTGAGAGAAGGAGGGAGAGAGAGAGAGTGGGCTCACAGCGTTGGAGCCAGAGCCGAGGGGCAGGGCGTCCAGGCCCTTGGGGGCGGGCAGGCCGTGTGCTTGGCACACTGTGGCCACACGCCTGTGCCACGTGGCAGCATCCATGCACAGACACGCGTTCTGCACGCGGGAACGAAAGGCGGGTGTGTGTAGAGAGTGAGGCCGCAGGGCAGAGAAGAGGTGTGCGCACACATGGACACATAGGCAGCATGACAGCATGGCAGCACGACAGCACAAGAGCACAGAAGCGCAACGAACAGCACCTTCCAAATGCGGTCCTGGAATTGCGGCTGAGCAGGCCAGAGCGAGCGCAGCAGGATGCGGATCTCAGGCATGGACCACCCCTCGTTGCCCCCCTCGCTCAGAAACTGCTGCGCTGCCAGCGCTGACAGCCTCCCCTGCATCCCGTTCCACGTGCCCCCTTCCCCCTCCTCCCCCTCTTCCCCCTCGCTCTCCCCTTCCTCCCCATCCTCCTCCCCCTCCCTTTCCCCTTCCTCACTCCCTTCCACCTCCTCGCCTTCCTCCACCTCCTCCCACTCATTCTCATCCTCATCCTCCTCCTCGCCCTCCCCATACATGGCCCGGAGTCGCTCGTCCCACTTCTCCCCAGCCTCAATCGCCAGTCTCCCAGCGCGCGCCACGCCTCTGTGCCTCCCAGGCACCATGTCGAGGCACACACAGTCGAAGTTAGCGGAGGAGGCAAAGTTCTGCGTGACGGCGACGGTGAGGTCGAGGTTGAGCACGCTGTGCCACCACCCCGATGGCACGTAGATGGTTTCTCCGGGTCTCTGCATCACTTCCATTGGCTTGTCCTCGGGGCGCAGGAGAGGGTATACCTCCAGCCACCACTGGGCGGGGGAAGAAGAGGGAGAGGGGGTGGAGGTGAGAAGGGGTAGGCGCATGGTTGTTGATGCGCCTGAGGCTGAGGACGCTGTGCATGGCGTGCATGGGGCGGCCCTCTGTTGACTCAAGTGGTTGCATTGCACCTCCGTCCAGCCTGTACTGGGGAGCGGGGGCAAGAGGGGCAAGGGACGAGCAGATCGTGTACCACGGCGTACCCGAGACAGCAGACCTATCCCCTTCCCCCACCCCCCCCAACGCACCTTGAGCGACGTGGGCCCATCGTAGTCCACATCGCCCGAGTCATCATCCACTCTTAACGTGACACCTGGCGGCACCTTCCCCGGTGGGTAGAGCGCCCATCGCTTTCTCCCCACGAGCAGAGTGTTCCAGGCGCTGGTGAGCGCGGGGTCCACGTGCCACCCTGCGCCCGAGCGCTGCGGGCCCGCCACGAGCCAGCGGTACATGGGGCGGCTGAGGGCAGGCATGGCCTCAAACACGTCCTCCTTGAAGTGCGGCGGCACCGAGTAGTCTGATACTAGCGCCGGTGCTTGCTCTCCGAACTGGGGGGTGAGGGGGAGAGTTGTTGGGGTGAGTGTGAGGGTGGGGAAGACTGAGTGGGAGCAGAGGGGTGGAGAAGGTGAATGGTGGGTGAAGGGGGGTGGAGTGCGGGGTGATGCTGGTGGCAAACGGCAGCAGGGACAAGAGAGAAGGAATGGTTCGGGGTAAAGGGAAGTTTGGAGTGATTTGAGATTCTAACCTTGGGGTTGGAAGAAGCATCACCTTGGGGTCGAAGATGGCTCACCTTGGGGTCGAAGATGGCTCACCTTGGGGTCGAAGATGGCTCAACTTGGGGTCGAAGATGGCTCACCTTGGGGTCGAAGATGGCTCACCTTGGGGTCGAAGATGGCTCACCTTGGGGTCGAAGATGGCTCACCTTGGGTCGAAGATGGCTCACCTTGGGGTCGAAGATGGCTCACCTTGGGGTCGAAGATGGCTCACCTTGGGGTCGAAGATGGCTCACCTTGGGGTTAAAGATGGCTCACCTTGGGGTCGAAGATGGCTCACCTTGGGGTCGAAGATGGCTCACCTTGGGGTCGAAGATGGCTCACCTTGGGGTCGAAGGTGGCTCACCTTGGGGTTAAAGATGGCTCACCTTGGGGTCGAAGATGGCTCACCTTGGGGTCGAAGATGGCTCACCTTGGGGTCGAAGATGGCTCACCTTGGGGTCGAAGATGGCTCACCTTGGGGTTAAAGATGGCTCACCTTGGGGTCGAAGATGGCTCACCTTGGGGTCGAAGATGGCTCACCTTGGGGTCGAAGATGGCTCACCTTGGGGTCGAAGATGTAGAGCGGCTCCTCATCGTGCTGTGCCGCCACGTATTCACGGTAGTCGCGCATCTTCATGCGCACCGTGTGTCCATTCGCCACCGACACCTTCAGCGCCACGTCACCGTGCTCCTCCGCCAGGCTGTCAATGCTCCACTGTGACGTGGCCCTCCTCCAGTTCTCCGTGAGGTCCGTCATGATCACCTGCGTGCGTGTGGGTGGGGGTGAGCGTGTGGGTGGGGGTGAGCGTGTGGGTGGGGGTGAGCGTGTGGGTGGGGGTGAGCGTGTGGGTGGGGGTGAGCGTGTGGGTGGGGGTGAGTGTGTGGTTGGGTGAGAGCGTGGGGGTGCGTATGTGTGAGTGTGCGCGTGTGTGGGGCATGGACAGCACAGCGAGTGCATGGTGTGGGTGGGGCACAGGGCACAGCGCGAGGCATAGAATCTCCTGAGAGCACCTTCTACACCACACCCCGTTCTTCCCCCCTCGGCCCCACTCTTTCTCCCCCTCCACGCACGGGGCGGCGGCCGTCGTATGATTGGCGGAACTCCTCCGGGGTGAGGCCAGCGCGCCGCTCCACGTGGCCGGTGTCGCCCTCGAACGCCTCGAGCTTCACGTGGCAGCGGTACCACCGGCGGTACAGAAACATGGACTGGAAGTCTGCTTGCCCGCCCGCCATGCATGGGCATGTCGGATGGAAGCGTATGAGGGCGCAGAAGAATGGGGTTGGGGGCAGCATGCACGAGAGAGGAGCAGGAGGGGGATAGTGTGGCTGCTACTTTTGCATGAAGGAATATGTGGAGGAATTCGTGTGCCTTCCAGTGCTAGCAACGCACATGAGCGTGCTAGCAACGCAGCTGAGCGTGCTAGCAACGCAGCTGAGCGTGCTAGCAACGCAGCTGAGCGTGCTAGCAACGCAGCTGAGCGTGCTAGCAACGCAGCTGAGCGTGCTAGCAACGCAGCTCAGGGTGCTAGCAACGCAGCTGAGCGTGCTAGCAACGCAGCTGAGCGTGCTAGCAACGCAGCTGAGCGTGCTAGCAACGCAGCTGAGCGTGCTAGCAACGCAGCTGAGCGTGCTAGCAACGCAGCTGAGCGTGCTAGCAACGCAGCTCAGGGTGCTAGCAACGCAGCTGAGCGTGCTAGCAACGCAGCTGAGCGTGCTAGCAACGCAGCTGAGCGTGCTAGCAACGCAGCTGAGCGTGCTAGCAACGCAGCTGAGCGTGCTAGCAACGCAGCTGAGCGTGCTAGCAACGCAGCTGAGCGTGCTAGCAACGCAGCTGAGCGTGCTAGCTCAGGGTGCTAGCAACGCAGCTGAGCGTGCTAGCAACGCAGCTGAGCGTGCTAGCAACGCAGCTGAGCGTGCTAGCAACGCAGCTGAGCGTGCTAGCAACGCAGCTGAGCGTGCTAGCAACGCCCTGCGCACAAGTGTAAGTGTTCTGGCGTGCTTGTGCGTGAGCATGTGTGCGAGAGCAAGCGCGGTACCTTTGAAGTGAAGCGGTTCCTTGAGATCTCGGCGCTCCACTTCCTTCTCCTCCGACAGCCTGCCGCGTCACGCCATGCACGCCATGCATGCACCCCATGCACCCCATGCACCCCATGCACCCCATGCACCCCATGCACCCCATGCACCCCATGCACCCCATGCACCCCATGCACCCCATGCACCCCATGCACCCCATGCACCCCATGCACCCCATGCACACCATGCACCCCATGCACCCAATGCACCCCATGCACGCCATGCACACCATGCATCACATCGCACAAAACGATGCCATGCCTTTCCATGCCACTCAAGCGCATCACGCCGTGCAATTCATGTAATACCATGCCATGCCATACCAATGTCGTGCCACCCCTGTCCAGCAGTCCAGCAATGGGCGGCAATGAGGCGACGCATGGAGTGATGGACGCATGGAGAGATGGACGCATGGAGTGATGGACGCATGGAGAGATGGACGCATGGAGAGATGGAGAGATGGAGAGATGGAGAGATGAAGCGATGGAGAGATGGAGCTATACGTTCGTCGATGCCCGTCGATCTTAAAGCGCGCTGCTTCCTGTAGCCACCACACCTACGCCCAATTCCATCCCGCACGCCCCACCCTCCTCCCGTCCCCAATTCGACCCTTAGCGCACCCCTGCTCTTATTCCCCACCTTCCCTCCTTCCCTTCGCCCCGCTACCACTCTCCCGTTTCCCGCGGCGCACTTGTTGAGAACGGTCTGGCGCCACGAGCGGTCGAAGCGCAGCACCTCGCCCTTGTACTCGCGGAAGCACGCCGCCAGCCACGTCGGCTCCTCCATGCAGAACACGTACAGCACGCTGCGCGCCGATACACACGGGGAATGGGGAGGCGGAGCGGGGGGAGGAAAGGGGAGTGACGGGGCTGCGTAAATGACAGGCCGTGATTAAGCGCCTCGTTGCGCGGCTCGTGATTGTAAGGGGGGTTGACGACCGTCGGAGAAAGGGACTTGCCTGCTGACGCAAGCGGCGGCCATGAGATCCTTGGGTCCCAGCCGTCCGATGATGTTGTCGATCACCTCGTCGGGCAGCACCGCCAGCGCACCCAGCGCTACAGTGCGCCTGTCGCTCCCTGATGGCGTGGCAGGCGGTACAGGCGTTTCACCTGCGGCTGACGCGGTGGCAGACCCCGAGTCATCGCTTCCGTTCATTGCGAGTCAGGCTTCGTCGGAGTGGCTAGATCCGCGCATTCAGCGAACGAACTCGGACGGAGAATCTGCGACAATGCACCGAGGAGGTGTGAGGAGGGCTGCTGAGCAGGAATGCCCAAGATTACATTCACGGCCTTGGGATTGGAATTTGTGAGTTGAGAGAGCCGGCGCTGCCTGACGGATGGGTTGTCCTGTGTATTGGGGCGAGGAGGAGACCAGCTGGCACGCACAACGGAAAAATCCCAAGGGGGGGGGTACTGTGAATCTTGACGGACATGTGGCGAGCCCTCATTTGTTCACTGCGATGTCACCGACAAGGCGGGTTCAATATCATCGAGAAAAATGGCATTGCACATTGCGCTGTCAAAATTGGCACTGCACTGACGAAATAGCTATTCATCTGAATCTAACTTCCTATTTATATCATCTCCTAAATAGCTACATAGAACTAGCTAGATGAATTATTTCTAGATGTCTTTGGACGCAACGGAACTCCAAAAAGGCGAGGGACTTCATGCGAGCTTATGTCATCCTCATCATCTCTCTTGTCGTCATGTATCTGCTTGTTATCTTCAACTTGACGTTCAATACCTCTATCATGGAAACCCATTCCACTATGGGGTTGCGCCTGACCAGCAGGTGCATATCTACTGATATGCTGGTCATCAGCCAGGCCAGATGCCGGGCGCAAAAAAGGCATGGAGGAGGAGACGTTGGAGGCCAGGTCGGGTGCAGTTGCTGCAGTGTCAAGAACTGTCCTTCCTGGCGGTCCGGTATTCATGGGAGGATTCCTCACATGCACCTTCGTGACAGCGGAGAGAGATAAGGTGCTGGCATCAGGTGCAGTGGCGGACAAGTGTTGCTGCAGGGCTAGTTGAATGGCCTCTAGGGTATGTCCTGCCACTGACACCCCACGCGCTGCCGCGCCTGCACCCACTGCAGGTGCTGATGCTGCGGGCACCCCTGCCATGTGGTGTGAGGCCATCGGTGCAGGGGTCTGAAGGGGGTGGGAGCGGGGTAGCAGGCGCATCACATGGTCCATGAGGCTGCCTGGCGGGCCTGCATGCTCTGCACCCACGGCTGCACTCACTGCTTCGCCCCCGTACAGTGTCCCTGTGACAGGAACGGGTGCGGCAGATACAGCCTGCTCCAGGTGCAACCTATCAAGGTGAGCTTGCATTAGGTGAGGCGACGCGGAGAGCATGTCACGAGGCATGGGCAGGGCCAGAGCGGAGGCATCCACACCTGCCCGGGGAGAGGGCTCGCCTGGTGAACATGCAGACGACCCTGCGGCTGATGGCGGCAGGACGAAAGGTGCGTGGGCAGAAGGTGCATGGGTGGCAGTTGCATGGGAAGCAGTTGCATGGGAAGCAGTTGCATGGGAAGCAGTTGCATGGGAAGCAGTTGCATGGGAAGCAGTTGCATGGGAAGCAGTTGCATAAGAAGCAGTTGCATGGGAAGCAGTTGCATAAGAAGCAGTTGCATGGGAAGCAGTTGAATAGGCGGCAGGTGTGAGGGTGGCAGGTGCGTGGGCGGCACTTGCATGGGCGGCAGGTGCGCGGGCGGCAGGTGCGTGGGCGGCAGGGGGCAAGGCACTGTGTGCAGTGACAGCCGGGGGGCGGAGAGATGGCGAGTGGAGCCGCCCGGCTGCAGCATCATGCGGCAGCCGCCTCTTCACTCCGCTCTGCGCTCGCCCTGCTGCTGCGGGCTCACCGTGCAGCGGCAAGGGCAGTGGCGGTGAGGTAGCAGCGATCAGTGGCTGGGCCGGGAAGGGAGCGCGGGGGAGCGGCTGCAGTGCTCCAGGCGCCACCACGGCACCTTCTCTGACGCACGCGCTGTATCTACTTAAGGGCTGTGGGCGCGCTGCCGTTTGGGTGGAGGCGCCGTGCGTCTGGCTGTGATGAGACACTGGCGGCATCAGCACTGGTGGCAGTGCCACGTGCTGCGCTTGGGGCACCGGTGGTGCCATGTGCTGCGCTTGGGGCACCGGTGGTGCCATGTGCTGCGCTTGGGGCACCGGTGGTGCCATGTGCTGCGCCTGGGGAATGGGCAGTGGCATGGCAGGGAGAGAGTGGAAGGCGTGTGCGCTGTGCGGTGATGGTAAGGCGGGCAAGGCGGGGACTGTTGTGCTGGCAGGATGCAGTGTGGGCCGCACAGGCGCCATGGGGACAGGCAGTGTGTGAGGGTGGTGTGAACGCAGAGGCACGGCAGGGCTGCTGCTGCTGCCGCTACCATGAAAATCGGGTTCTCGCGTCTCCCTCTTCGCCATTCCCCCGCGTGCCGCTCCCGTTCTCGCCCTCGCCGCACTGTGTCGCTTGCTGCTGTTGCTGCTGCCGCCGTGGGGGCTCCTCGCGGCTGCTGCGGGGATGCGAGGGGCGGCGCGGCCGGGTGCGATCTGGCGAAGGGCGCGGCGGGAGAAGGCGGAGTGAGCGGCGGTGGCGGACTGAGGAGATAGGGGCTTCGCTTGAGGGAAGAGCGCGAGGGACGCTGAAACGACAACAACACGCGGCACGGGAGTAACTCGAGTTTCACTCCACTTCCGACAACACGCTCCCAGCCCTTGCGCTCAGCCGAGTGCCGCATTCGTACGACCACGACGGGGAACAGATCTGTTAATGGATATGTGAATGCATATGCATTTGTTCAAGCGACGTAACAAGAGAACACGACGGCGTGAATCGAGGAACGGAAAGTACCTTCCACGCACGGAAGGAGGAGACGCCGCTCGCCTTGCTGTGCCGCGGCAGGCGGTTTGGGAGGCGGCGCTGGAAGCGCGGAGGCTGCGGGGGAGGCGGGTGGGGCGGGCGAGGGGTCCCAGCGGCCGTGCGCGAGGAAGTGGCGGTCCTCGCGCTCCGTGCGGCCAATCACGGCCTCCAACGCCGCCGTCAGCCGCGGCGCTAGCGTGCGCTGCTCCGAATACTCCTCCTGCACAACCATGGCGGCATCGTGGCCCCAACATGATCCACCCATCATCACGAGCCGCACACCACGACCCATGGACAGCAAGCCAGGCAGAATGTCAGAAGACCTTTTTAAAACGTTCGCTATCATAGCGGAAAAGGCGAGAGGGCATTATTAGTGATTAAACCAAATACGCTGTACGATTGCTGTGCGAGCGGTGAGAGGAACACGTACGAGCGAGGAGGCGCGGCAGTAGAGCGTGTCTTCGAGTCGGACCACCACGCTGGGTAGCGCAGCGCGCCACACCGCGCTGCTCACGGTCGCCTCTTCGTGGATCGCCGCCGCGTGCCTGCCAGCACCGAGCGACACGAAATCAATGGTTAGTGCACACGATCCATTCAGGCCTGGGATTGCGCTTCATAGTCTCGGTTAGAGAACGCAATGGAGCGGTTGAGTGGATGTCGTGGGGCGTACTCAATGATTCGCTTGATGACTTCCACTCGCGCGGGTCCGTCGCTGTCGCAGTGCCACGGCTTCATCCATGCGCCTCACGCGCTCTCCGCGTCCAGGCGCCGACAAGGGGAGATGCTGATGGCTGCTGCATCCCTATGTCTAAGCAAGTCCTTAAAAAACGCTATTATTGGTAAACGTTGGCAAAGATATTCGAATAAACTATTGTGAACGCTCAAGCTAAATGTTGCTTCGCGTTTTAGTTCGACTGGATCTGAGCAGCCAGGCATTCGACCAAGTTGTTGGAGAATGATAACAGATATGTGAACAGCGAGGTCCAGTTGCTTCAGCCACGGATGCATCGCACGAGTGCTCTGCAGCACGGCACTGACGCTGGAAGCTGAGGCTGAGGCTGACTGGTTGTGCCTGCACCAGTCGAGCAAGCCAAGCATGGGAGGCAACTGTGGTGCAAGGAGCACAACATCACGGGCACACAAGACTGGGCTGCAAGAAATGAACACATGGAGGATGGCAGCCGAATCGCAATTTTTTGTGAGGGGCTGCGAGCTGTGTGTGGTGCGGTTCGGATGACGTGGATGCAATGTTCCATCTGCGACAGGCACCAGAACCGTGGTGTAAGAACGAATGATTATGGGCAGCCCGTCTTTCACGGACATCCCTAGGATCCGCCAGCGAGACATTGACAACAGATGTTAGTGGTTAGGGCTACTCCAAAGCATTCATCACTCTCGAAGGCGATATCTTCGGCAATTCTTGACATGGCTCTCAGGTATTGGCTCTAGACACAGCAAGGTGAAAATCATGATTCGTTTGACGTGGCTTCCATTGAAACCAGCGGATGAGCGTGTGGTGAAGTGTCACGGGACAAGACAATCAGACTGTCCTTCAATGACTGGCCCGGTTGAAAGGAGCCGTGCTTCATTGGTTGAACAAAGAGATTGCGTGATTTCACTGAGTGCAATTTTCCAAGAACGCTGGAAAGCCACTGTGCAACTGAGTGCAACCGTACGTCAGCGGTCACTGGGGAGTGGAAGGAGACACACGTTGCGAGGGATCCGACTTTCCAGCGTTTTCTGGCCTGCATCACAGGCTCACAGCTGTTTGGCTTTTGTGGCGGAAAGGCCTTCATATGGCATTTCCTGGTTCCTTCCTCATAATATCAGCAACCCGCTTCAGTAAAATTTGTTGGTCCACCTTTTTTCGCGCTACACTTTCATTGGCTATACTGGTTGATCGGATGTACACACATCAATGCGTCCAGGATGATCCCAGAACGTACCATATAAGCACACTTGCCGCACTCAGCCGTACGAAAAAAACAAGGTTTCTTTTTTAAACCGTTGTGTACCGTTCACTGGGTGAGCATTTGCCAGCCACTTACCTGGGAGTTCGGATGTAAGCACCAGCCCGCTAGGTACAAAGCAACAGTATGCACTGTAGCCAGTGCATCCCATTGTCAGTGTAGCGCGAAAGAGGTGTAGCAATGCGCGTGCTGACGGGATCCTTACTATTGAAACACCCTATCGTACACCTGATGCCCAGGTCATGCACGCGAATTTTCCCCGTGGTTTTTTTGCCGTAAAGTTGCACCTACGTTACAAGCACTTCGAGCAAGGTGCAGTGATATTAACAAATACGGACCACAGAAACTGAAGTTTGACTGAAGAGACCGAAGTCAATCTGTCATCGGTGGGTTACAAATTTTTTTTTTAGCCCTTATAAGCATCTGACGAATCCTTTTTTGCTAGCTGCGAACTGACCAAACCTTTGCGAAATTCTCGAAATTACTTACAAGCCCCCTTCACAAGGCAACCTCGGGTTAGTCAAATGAGCATCATGTGTATTGATCCTGAAGTGGCCCAGCTGTTAGCTGGTTCACTTCCATAAGATAGGTTTCAGGATCAAATCCCCCCTGTTGCGCATTCAGCCAGTCCCCACAAAAAGGGACTTCACAGGTGCTCATCTGGGAGTGGATATAACAACCTCGATACCCAACGAGGCGTATACACCCTCATTCTTGATGGACTGGCATATGTTATACTAACCGAGACGCTTTGTGTAACCGCAACGGACCAAAGAAGGTCCTCTCACATGCGCTTTAGTGACAATTTCACCCAGGGCGTTTAGTCAAGGTTCTCTACGATACAAAATGGTACTGTTGTTTTTAAAGCGGTTAAGATGGCTATGAAGTGTAAACTGTTTTTTTTTCGGCCCAAGCCTTGCTTCGTCGCCTCGTGCGACTTTGCCCGCAACCGAGTTATCGCACCAGCCCGCTACGTCCAAACACTGTAGCCAGTGCTTCCGCCGGTGAGAGATCGAGAACAAGGGTGTAAACAAATGGGTAGGCGGGTTACGACCGACAGCTGGGGTAACCAAAGGGGGTTTCCCCTAAAACCTTTACCTTTACCTTACCTTACCCTGTCGTATTGAAACAAAAGTTATTTTTTCATAATCGTCCCAAATTTACAGGGTACGTTCTGCTCGGAGGATCTCATGTCGTGTTTTGAATTTCCCTGCACTATGAATGACATCGGGAAAATTCTCCAAGCAGAATTTGCTTGCTCTATGTTCCCCCAACTAACCCCAGGTCCAGTGAGGGAGAATCGTTGCCGAAGGCTAGTCGATTCTCGTTGCTAGCGGGCCCACCTTTCGCGACGATTTGGGGTAGGCGACTCCCACGAATCGTTACGCTGTTTCACAGCCCTCGCAAGGCTGGAGTTCGCGTGCATCCAGGGGTCGTCCATCTGCTATTTTCTCGCCGCTGTCCACACCGCTTCTCGATAATGTCGACCTTATTCCATTCCACCTCGTCCTTGTACTATCGCCGCGTCGCTTTCACAAGGCTCTCTTCTACCCCTAGTAGCTGTCGTTCCGCGAGCAGCTTCCATCCGTACAGCTTTTTGTCTGCTCCTTGCGTATCTAGAGGATTCTACCGTCGCGCGTATCCATTGTCTAACATAACCCGTTTACGCCAGGGCTCAGCGGTTGAGCGTTTTGCGTTTTCCGCGCATCCCTCTGCGCAATTGTCGGAATTCGATTCGCCCGCGAGCACCCGCGCCGCACGCAGTATGTCGCAAAAGGCGTCCACTCCAGCAGAGGGGGCAGCGGACGTCGCGCCTGGCGCGCAGTCAGAGGCGCTCGCGTTCGACGCGGCGAAGAGCATTCCGGGGCTGAATTGCGTCCGGAAATTGCTGACCGAGGACCCCGTTGGTGAGCGTCACTCCAATTCTTGGGGCGAGTGCGCGGCGACGGGACGAAGGGGATGATTGCTGCGACGCATGCCAACGCGAGGCTCATCATTTCCGTCCGCGCCTGCGCGTCTGCTGTTTTCTCTCCATCATCCGCACGCTAAGACGCGCCAAATCATGATTCTGCGCGGATGCTCCCCTGACGTGTCCACCCTCGCCTTCGTGGCTGATTGCGTGTCCACCCTTGTATTTATTTTTGGGGAGCTTCCGCACAGCGCGCCCCATGCCTTGACTCGCCGCTGTGCCCTCTCCGCATTCCTTTGGGAACCCTTACCCTAATCTTCATTGTCTCCTCCCCCCCTTCCTCCCCCACGCCAGGCGGGTGGGACAAGGCGTGGCAGGCGAGCACGACGCCGTGGGATCTGGGCGGCGTGACGCCGGCTGTAGCGGCGCTCGTGGCGGCGCAAGAGGGGTCGCCGCTGCACCTGCCGCCCTCCATCCGCCGCGTGCTCGTCCCCGGCTGTGGCACCGTGAGTGCCTGGCGGCCGGCTGTAGCACTGGAATGCACAGTGGTTGTTTCATGGAACATGTTTACCCGGCTGTAGCACTGGAATGCACAGTGGTTGTTTCATGGAACATGTTTACCCGGCTGCAGCATGAGGGGGGAGAGTCCAATGATTGCTTTAATGATTACACCTCCATGGCCTTGGCACTTCACTGCATGCTATTTCGTGGGTCCATGGCATTTCATCACATGGCATGGCATGGCATGGCATGGCAGGGGTACGATGTGGAGGCATTGGCATCAGGTGGCAGGGAGGCGACGGGGCTTGACATCTCTCCGGCTGCTGTGGCGCATGCAGAGAAGGTGGGAGCATGCAGAGAAGGTGGGAGCACGTGACATGGGTGCCGCATTAACGCCCTCCCTTCATGGGTGCCTGTTGGGTGCAACTCGCACAGGCGGGTGGGCAGCGCCTGTGTAGCCAGCACTCCACCATTCGCCCTTCCCTTTCTTCGCAGATGCCTTCGCTAACACTCCTGCCCTCACATCACACTCCTTTCCACTCCTCACCTGCTGTCCAATCGCCACCCTCTTGACCGTCTCAACCCTCTCTTCACTCTCAACCCTCTCCTCTTCCTGCCAAACCTCTCCCCTACCCCCCCCCTCTCCCTGTGCGGGTGTCAGCGGGTGGAGGGGGCGGGTAACAGGGCGGCGATGACATTTGTGTGCGCAGACTTCTTTGAGTACCGCCCCGCACAGCCCTTTGATGCCATCTTTGACTACACGTGAGTGACCCTCGCTCCGCTGCCTCTCAACTCCCTCAAACCTCTGCCTCTCACCACCTTCACCACCTCACTCTCTCACCACCCCTCGCATATCAAACACCTGCTGCCACACTAGCTTTCCCTCCCCCTGCTCCCTGTGCCTAGCGAGTGCCTACAATTTCAATCGCTCCCACGTGTGTTGTGTCCCATTCGCCCTCTCTACCTCGGTTAAGAGCACACACCCCATCTTGCCCCCCGTCTGCTCATCCAACCCCTGTCACTGCCCACATGCCCTCTCGCCCCTGCCTTGCCCCTCACAACCTCGTGCCCGCACGCACCATCCTTCCATGCCCGCTTGCCCCCGTGTCCCTCCCCACCGCCCCCACCGCACGCAGCTTCTTCTGTGCGCTGCCACCGTCGCTGCGCGGCAAGTGGGCTGCCAAGACAGCGGAGCTGCTCGCACCACACGGGGTGCTGCTACACTCTCATGTTCCCCGTGCGTATTCATGCTCCCTCTCATGTTCCCCGTGCGTATTCATGCTCCCTCTCATGTTCCCCGTGCGTATTCATGCTCCCTCTCATGTTCCCCGTGCGTATTCATGCTCCCTCTCATGTTCCCCGTGCGTATTCATGCTCCCTCTCATGTTCCCCGTGCGTATTCATGCTCCCTCTCATGTTCCCCGTGCGTATTCATGCTCCCTCTCATGTTCCCCGTGCGTATTCATGCTCCCTCTCATGTTCCCCGTGCGTATTCATGCTCCCTCTCATGTTCCCCGTGCGTATTCATGCTCCCTCTCATGTTCCCCGTGCGTATTCATGCTCCCTCTCATGTTCCCCGTGCGTATTCATGCTCCCTCTCATGTTCCCCGTGCGTATTCATGCTCCCTCTCATGTTCCCCGTGCGTATTCATGCTCCCTCTCATGTTCCCCGTGCGTATTCATGCTCCCTCTCATGTTCCCCGTGCGTATTCATGCTCCCTCTCATGTTCCCCGTGCGTATTCATGCTCCCTCTCATGTTCCCCGTGCGTATTCATGCTCCCTCTCATGTTCCCCGTGCGTATTCATGCTCCCTCTCATGTTCCCCGTGCGTATTCATGCTCCCTCTCATGTTCCCCGTGCGTATTCATGCTCCCTCTCATGTTCCCCGTGCGTATTCATGCTCCCTCTCATGTTCCCCGTGCGTATTCATGCTCCCTCTCATGTTCCCCGTGCGTATTCATGCTCCCTCTCATGTTCCCCGTGCGTATTCATGCTCCCTCTCATGTTCCCCGTGCGTATTCATGCTCCCTCTCATGTTCCCCGTGCGTATTCATGCTCCCTCTCATGTTCCCCGTGCGTATTCATGCTCCCTCTCATGTTCCCCGTGCGTATTCATGCTCCCTCTCATGTTCCCCGTGCGTATTCATGCTCCCTCTCATGTTCCCCGTGCGTATTCATGCTCCCTCTCATGTTCCCCGTGCGTATTCATGCTCCCTCTCATGTTCCCCGTGCGTATTCATGCTCCCTCTCATGTTCCCCGTGCGTATTCATGCTCCCTCTCATGTTCCCCGTGCGTATTCATGCTCCCTCTCATGTTCCCCGTGCGTATTCATGCTCCCTCTCATGTTCCCCGTGCGTATTCATGCTCCCTCTCATGTTCCCCGTGCGTATTCATGCTCCCTCTCATGTTCCCCGTGCGTATTCATGCTCCCTCTCATGTTCCCCGTGCGTATTCATGCTCCCTCTCATGTTCCCCGTGCGTATTCATGCTCCCTCTCATGTTCCCCGTGCGTATTCATGCTCCCTCTCATGTTCCCCGTGCGTATTCATGCTCCCTCTCATGTTCCCCGTGCGTATTCATGCTCCCTCTCATGTTCCCCGTGCGTATTCATGCTCCCTCTCATGTTCCCCGTGCGTATTCATGCTCCCTCTCATGTTCCCCGTGCGTATTCATGCTCCCTCTCATGTTCCCCGTGCGTATTCATGCTCCCTCTCATGTTCCCCGTGCGTATTCATGCTCCCTCTCATGTTCCCCGTGCGTATTCATGCTCCCTCTCATGTTCCCCGTGCGTATTCATGCTCCCTCTCATGTTCCCCGTGCGTATTCATGCTCCCTCTCATGTTCCCCGTGCGTATTCATGCTCCCTCTCATGTTCCCCGTGCGTATTCATGCTCCCTCTCATGTTCCCCGTGCGTATTCATGCTCCCTCTCATGTTCCCCGTGCGTATTCATGCTCCCTCTCATGTTCCCCGTGCGTATTCATGCTCCCTCTCATGTTCCCCGTGCGTATTCATGCTCCCTCTCATGTTCCCCGTGCGTATTCATGCTCCCTCTCATGTTCCCCGTGCGTATTCATGCTCCCTCTCATGTTCCCCGTGCGTATTCATGCTCCCTCTCATGTTCCCCGTGCGTATTCATGCTCCCTCTCATGTTCCCCGTGCGTATTCATGCTCCCTCTCATGTTCCCCGTGCGTATTCATGCTCCCTCTCATGTTCCCCGTGCGTATTCATGCTCCCTCTCATGTTCCCCGTGCGTATTCATGCTCCCTCTCATGTTCCCCGTGCGTATTCATGCTCCCTCTCATGTTCCCCGTGCGTATTCATGCTCCCTCTCATGTTCCCCGTGCGTATTCATGCTCCCTCTCATGTTCCCCGTGCGTATTCATGCTCCCTCTCATGTTCCCCGTGCGTATTCATGCTCCCTCTCATGTTCCCCGTGCGTATTCATGCTCCCTCTCATGTTCCCCGTGCGTATTCATGCTCCCTCTCATGTTCCCCGTGCGTATTCATGCTCCCTCTCATGTTCCCCGTGCGTATTCATGCTCCCTCTCATGTTCCCCGTGCGTATTCATGCTCCCTCTCATGTTCCCCGTGCGTATTCATGCTCCCTCTCATGTTCCCCGTGCGTATTCATGCTCCCTCTCATGTTCCCCGTGCGTATTCATGCTCCCTCTCATGTTCCCCGTGCGTATTCATGCTCCCTCTCATGTTCCCCGTGCGTATTCATGCTCCCTCTCATGTTCCCCGTGCGTATTCATGCTCCCTCTCATGTTCCCCGTGCGTATTCATGCTCCCTCTCATGTTCCCCGTGCGTATTCATGCTCCCTCTCATGTTCCCCGTGCGTATTCATGCTCCCTCTCATGTTCCCCGTGCGTATTCATGCTCCCTCTCATGTTCCCCGTGCGTATTCATGCTCCCTCTCATGTTCCCCGTGCGTATTCATGCTCCCTCTCATGTTCCCCGTGCGTATTCATGCTCCCTCTCATGTTCCCCGTGCGTATTCATGCTCCCTCTCATGTTCCCCGTGCGTATTCATGCTCCCTCTCATGTTCCCCGTGCGTATTCATGCTCCCTCTCATGTTCCCCGTGCGTATTCATGCTCCCTCTCATGTTCCCCGTGCGTATTCATGCTCCCTCTCATGTTCCCCGTGCGTATTCATGCTCCCTCTCATGTTCCCCGTGCGTATTCATGCTCCCTCTCATGTTCCCCGTGCGTATTCATGCTCCCTCTCATGTTCCCCGTGCGTATTCATGCTCCCTCTCATGTTCCCCGTGCGTATTCATGCTCCCTCTCATGTTCCCCGTGCGTATTCATGCTCCCTCTCATGTTCCCCGTGCGTATTCATGCTCCCTCTCATGTTCCCCGTGCGTATTCATGCTCCCTCTCATGTTCCCCGTGCGTATTCATGCTCCCTCTCATGTTCCCCGTGCGTATTCATGCTCCCTCTCATGTTCCCCGTGCGTATTCATGCTCCCTCTCATGTTCCCCGTGCGTATTCATGCTCCCTCTCATGTTCCCCGTGCGTATTCATGCTCCCTCTCATGTTCCCCGTGCGTATTCATGCTCCCTCTCATGTTCCCCGTGCGTATTCATGCTCCCTCTCATGTTCCCCGTGCGTATTCATGCTCCCTCTCATGTTCCCCGTGCGTATTCATGCTCCCTCTCATGTTCCCCGTGCGTATTCATGCTCCCTCTCATGTTCCCCGTGCGTATTCATGCTCCCTCTCATGTTCCCCGTGCGTATTCATGCTCCCTCTCATGTTCCCCGTGCGTATTCATGCTCCCTCTCATGTTCCCCGTGCGTATTCATGCTCCCTCTCATGTTCCCCGTGCGTATTCATGCTCCCTCTCATGTTCCCCGTGCGTATTCATGCTCCCTCTCATGTTCCCCGTGCGTATTCATGCTCCCTCTCATGTTCCCCGTGCGTATTCATGCTCCCTCTCATGTTCCCCGTGCGTATTCATGCTCCCTCTCATGTTCCCCGTGCGTATTCATGCTCCCTCTCATGTTCCCCGTGCGTATTCATGCTCCCTCTCATGTTCCCCGTGCGTATTCATGCTCCCTCTCATGTTCCCCGTGCGTATTCATGCTCCCTCTCATGTTCCCCGTGCGTATTCATGCTCCCTCTCATGTTCCCCGTGCGTATTCATGCTCCCTCTCATGTTCCCCGTGCGTATTCATGCTCCCTCTCATGTTCCCCGTGCGTATTCATGCTCCCTCTCATGTTCCCCGTGCGTATTCATGCTCCCTCTCATGTTCCCCGTGCGTATTCATGCTCCCTCTCATGTTCCCCGTGCGTATTCATGCTCCCTCTCATGTTCCCCGTGCGTATTCATGCTCCCTCTCATGTTCCCCGTGCGTATTCATGCTCCCTCTCATGTTCCCCGTGCGTATTCATGCTCCCTCTCATGTTCCCCGTGCGTATTCATGCTCCCTCTCATGTTCCCCGTGCGTATTCATGCTCCCTCTCATGTTCCCCGTGCGTATTCATGCTCCCTCTCATGTTCCCCGTGCGTATTCATGCTCCCTCTCATGTTCCCCGTGCGTATTCATGCTCCCTCTCATGTTCCCCGTGCGTATTCATGCTCCCTCTCATGTTCCCCGTGCGTATTCATGCTCCCTCTCATGTTCCCCGTGCGTATTCATGCTCCCTCTCATGTTCCCCGTGCGTATTCATGCTCCCTCTCATGTTCCCCGTGCGTATTCATGCTCCCTCTCATGTTCCCCGTGCGTATTCATGCTCCCTCTCATGTTCCC